CGTGCGTGCACTTAAGGGTGATTTTCTGTATATGGCATGTGCACGTTTTCTGTGTTTTGTACTGAGTCTTTGTGTGTATCTGTATGTTAGATTGGCGCAGGGACCTGGTGCCTTCCTGGTCCAGGTTGGGATGAAAATTTCCGGGAGTGCCAGCGAGTCTCTTTGTACACTATATATATATATATATATACACACACACACACACACATTTTTTGTCAAAGAAAAATAAATCACGATTTTGTCCCTTTTCTCACAATATGTTCGTCGTTTCCAGTATGACAGCGATGATTAGGGATTAAGTACTCTCTGTTACACTTCCACTCCCACTTGATTGCAAATCGGTCTTGTGTTCTGAAACCTGAACAGAACAAATGGATTCAGATCACACACAACATACAGTCATCTTTTTAGGCAAATCAGAGGGGGCGTGAGAAAGACAGAGAATGGCGGAGATTACAAGGAAATGACAGCTCAGAAATGAGGGCAAGGAAATTGACTTGATTAGTTTACGCTGATGTGTCAATCAGATGAGATACAGACACAAGCACCGAGTCTGTGCATTCTTACATTATAATCTGTGCTTAAACACAATCCTTCCTGTCTTGCTTCCTGACACACACACACACAAAAGATGACTCAGTCACAGTGTTGTGTTTATTTCCCCACATCGAGGTCCAACGGCCGATCAGAAGGTCACAGGACAATATAGGAAACACAGAGTGCTATTTTTACACTCAGCAGAGGACATGCTACTGGTTTTGTGTTACATGCTACTGGTTTTGTGTTTTTCTTTTTTCTTATATAACAAAAAACCTAGTGACACAAAAGTGAAATAGTTCTTCTTCTCTTGTGGGAATGAATGTAGGCTTGCATACATACACACACTAAAAGAAACGTCCACATTTTTTTGTTTTTTATTGGAAAAAAGTACATCCAAATTGTGCATGTGACAGAGTGCATTGCATAAGAAAAATTGGCAGGTTAAATGTAAAGGAATCATTAAAAAGAAGAAGAAGCTATAGCTGATTACAGGAGTGCAGTGGCATAACCAGTACACCAGACACTTGCTGTTTCACTGAACTTTAAAGTTAAAGGAATAGAAGGAATGAAACCACCCTACACAGAGACAGTCAAAACACAATAGAAAGGACAAGGAGAAAAAATAATAATAATCAAAAAACACATCTGGATATACTGAAAATGAGAAATTATACAAAAATACGACACAGTTCTTAAAACACAATACCAGCTCACCATTTGGTCTGGAAAAAAAACCCCAAAACAAATATGGAGAACAGGATGGACTAGTTTAAACAACGGCACAATAACAGGCTTAAAAATCACATAAGAGATATGTAGGAAGCTTAAACCAGGATAAAAGAAAATAGTGCTTTGGCTGAATATTTTCGCTGCAAAAAGGGATGAAATTAACAAGAAAGTTGAAAATGCTTTAACTGGTACCTTTGAAGAAAAGTGTGACTGCACTGCATTCGGATTAAAGAAAGCAACTCTCAAGTATTCTTCATGGATTTATGCTCACAGTGCTTAAAGAGACAATTGACATCAAAAATCAAATTTACATATTTGCTTAGCTGACTGACACCGTGACAGGATGTAAACAAACAGGTTGTGCCGTGTTTGTTGGACACATGGTAGTACGCCTGAAAAAAAATGTATATTTGATTTTGAGGGTGAATTGTTCCTTTAATGCAACATTGATAAAATCACACAAGCACCTCATCAGTGCAAAATAAAAAGGTCCTAGACTACAGTTATTTTAACCTTGGAAATAAACTAGGTCAGGCTGCTTGCCTGTTTTTTACAAAGAAAAATCCGTAAGGATAAATGGTTGGCATGAGTCGAGTTTCATAGAGACTTCAGTGATTCCCTCTTTCTGACACTAGAGGGTATGAGGGAGTCAGTTAACTGATGTAAAAGAAATGGTTTTGGAATGAGGCATATCTTTTTAATCTACAAATATTTTGAAAAATGTGCAAATACAAAGCAAAATGTATATTACATTTTGCAATATCGATCACACTCACTTTTGTAAATAAACACATTTAGTTACGGTTAACAAGGAGTCATAAAATGTGATTTTCACACTGCCCTTAAAGCAGATGATCTTAGATCTTAGAAAATAAAATGTCCAAGTGTGGTGTCACAGAGAAAGGGCTGAGCACCTTACGTTCATCTGTGTAAAAATAAGTGTAATAAACCAGGCGAGGCAGAAAACCTCATAAACTGCAATACTTCTATGAAGACCAAATCAGGTCATAGGATTCGATCACCGTGTGCAAAGCATCTGAAGCCATTTAAGAATAATAGAACAAAGGCGCATTTAAAAGGATTTGGCATGCTTGTTGCATTGGTGCTGCTATTGTGTGTGGATGGCTTCTTGTCTACCACCTGATACCACATCAGGTCATATTGGGTTACAAAACACCAATGCAAATCTGTACTGCTGCAAAACTTAACTGCAGTCAGCAGTTTAATATGAGCTAGCCATTGATCCTTCACTTTGTGTGTCTTCATCACTTTCACAGAGTATTTGTGTATGTGTGTGTATGTGTGTGCGTGCGTGCACTTAAGGGTGATTTTCTGTATATGGCATGTGCACGTTTTCTGTGTTTTGTACTGAGTCTTTGTGTGTATCTGTATGTTAGATTGGCGCAGGGACCTGGTGCCTTCCTGGTCCAGGTTGGGATGAAAATTTCCGGGAGTGCCAGCGAGTCTCTTTGTACACAAACCAAGCATTGAACGCCCACACAAGCATGTTAAGGTAGCCAAACACCTGGATAATATAGACAAAAAAATAATCATTAGAAATATTTTTTTTTATATCAATGCAATATTTAGTAATGTTAAAACCAATATTTTTTTTATCTTTCAAACACACAAAGCAGAAACAGATTTCCCGAACATTTGTTGCCATTCCAAACATGCCCTCTGGTGGACAAATGATGAAACATCAATCAAAGGTGCTGCTCCTGTCTATTCTATGCTTTACACATTTTCATTTATTGGCACTTATAAATTCTGATAATCATATATCAGCAAACAGTTAATATCAGCTGATTATTATTTCATCTCACCACAGATATATTGAGGGTCCGCATGTTAGCAAACTCCGTGACCTCACAGGTGATGTTGCTACCCTTACAGAGTGCCAGCGTGCCACTGATGCCTTCAGTGTCTGTGGCACTCTTTACATTCTGCAGGCCTTTAGCCCAGGCGGATGAACACACCAGCCACAGGAAAACCAGGATCGCTGTGATCACAAAGTCCTGGAGAGGAGGGTAAATACATGAACAATTTCAATACATTTCAAATCAGGCCTTGCATCAACTGGGACGATTACAGGAGGCAAGATCAAGACTCACAAAAATTGGTCCAAAGTCAGAGTCCTTGTAGACGTGCATGTAGCCTAAATACACCAGCAGAGCTGCCATGCTGTAAAGGAAGCAGACAATGCCAACACCTACAAAGAACTCCGCCGAGGAGGCCGAGTCTCCCATCATGTGTGTTGTAGTGACAGAGTGGTTACAAAGAGTCGTATTTTTATCAATGAGCGGGAACTGGCTTAACCTGGGAATGATACAGAATAGACAGAATAAATGGGTTCTTATATAATTAACTTAAAATGTACGTGAAAATTAAATATGTTGAAATGCTCACCTAAATGGGTATTGATACATGGCATTGAGAGTTTCATTACTGCCATCGCCACAGAGGATAGATATGACGTTCTTCCCTGAAAATCCACCGCAGCAGCCAAAAGCAAATATGGCTGTGAGCTGTTTGGACAGTAAGAAGATAGTGGCATGAGAAAAAAGTTATTAATAACATCAAAACCAGGAAAGCATAGGCTCTGGAGAATTTCTAAGTGGTGGGATTATGATCAGCATGTTCAATATAAAGAATTGCCTGAAAAAATACAACTGAGCAATTTTTACAGGATCATAAAAAAAGTGTTTCAAGAATTTGAAAGAGAGGATCAAATATTGGGTCAGTGACTTTCTATTTGCCATTGAAAAAAGATACAGAAAAAAACATGACAGCACAAATCAAGTATTTCCTTTAAAGAACCACATCATTTTTTCAAAACGTAAAAATGTGACTTGCATGGTTTCACTAATCCTGCCACTCAGCTCTTAAATTCTTTCTTGCAGAAAAGCATCTGTTTCAGCCTACTGACCATGTGACACTAATGCTCCCCTTTAAACCAACACAAACAGAATTCTTTTAGTGAGGGTGGCTGCCACTCAGCTCAACCTTTAAACAAGGTTAACCAGTGATAATAGAAATCACTGAGCAGCATGATGGGTAACAATGATTTCAAGTGAAAATAGGCACCATGTGTCGTGGAAAGCTTCGTATTTTAGTGCAATAAATAAATAGCTCTTAGATTTATGACTTTTAGATTTTTGACTGCCCTGTGACCACTAATGTTGCATTTAACAGTTAATATGGTGAAGATCACAGCAAATAGAGGCTTCCATGTTTGCACATCTAGCAGACATGCTGCAACGATATGCAATAGTAACTTACATTTGGAATTCTGTATCTGGCTTCACGGTAATCTTGAAGTAAACTTCAATTTCCTTTTTCCTGTTTTGGTCTCCACCGACTATTTATGGAAATCTGTGGGTCTTTCTTTGGCTAATAAATATTACACTAAAATTATTATCTAGTTACTAACTTTGCTTGTCTCTTGTGGTAATCTTATATGCAACTATATTTTTGTCCTAAGCTACTTTAAACTATCTCTTGGGAATGCCTTGGTGTCCCCCTGGAAGAGCTGGAGGTGGCAGAGCATTGGGGTGTCTGGGTACTTCTGATTAGGCTGCTGCCCCCACAAGAAGGATGATTTTGTAAAAGGCTGTAAATAAATGATGACAGTGGCTTTTCATGTCTTTAAAAAAAGGGTAATTGAGGAAGCATTCATTTACTTAAATGCTAGTTTCCAGCCTTTTCAAATACAGGACAATGTTAATTCTGTAAGTGCAGTTCCATTGGGTGCGAAATAGGAGATAAAGCAGGGTAGAGTGTTTTTTAGTTACAGTGGTCCCTCGCTATAATGCGGTTCACCTTTCGCGGTCTCGCTGTTTCACAGATTTTTTTTTTTTTTTGGTGCAATTTTGCGTGTTTTTTTTTTCTTTCAGCGCATTGTGTTCTGCGTCCTGATTGGCTGTAGACCATTGTCAATCAATCTCGTGCCGTGTCTCCTGTACAGTACAGAATGCATTCAGTTTGTCAAGTTGACATAAATCTTCGATCGCTAGTAGTTTGACTCTGAAGAGCTGTACTGTATGTTTGTAACTTTTCTCCCCAACGAACACAACAATGTCGACGAAACGTTTTGCACCCTCAAAGGCAACCGCGGGTGCCTTTGGTTACATTCTATAATACTGGACTTATTTTTTAATTAAACAACTACAATAGAATGATACACAAAAGCCTGCTGCTTCAGGTATGCAACTCACCCTTTGATCTCTTTTATACCATGTTTTCAAACCCTTTAAATCCATAATTTAGTCCAGATGAGTTTGCAAGCAGGAGGCATAGTACCATTAGCTAAACTAAACTGAGACCAGTGTTGTAACATTGCTTCACAGCCCAGCTAGCTCATATGGCAGAGCATGAGACTCTTAATCTCGGGGTCATGGGTTCAAGCCCCATGTTTAAATAATTGAGTGACAAAGAAAGGGAAGAATTAGTTCTTGCTTCCACTATGAGACTCAAAGCTATGTTGCTGTCAGGCAGTTTATCACTATGTTGATATTTTTCTATGACTATAATGAGAGAATGAATTGGAATGGAATGAATGGAATAAATTCTAGCTGACAAAGACAGGCACGTCAACATTTCCATTTTCCCTCAATCACGTTTCGTATTGATCATCAATACAACCCCAGAAGAGAGAAGGGCTAAAGTTAGAATTGTTTGCTTGTTTTTGTAATGTCAATCTTGACTTAGATGACACCGTCAGCTAGCTTGTCAGGATGGCCGAGCGGTCTAAGGCGCCAGACTCAAGGATAGATACCGTCCACAAAAAAAGGGACTTCTGGTCTCCAAATGGAGGCGTGGGTTCAAATCCCACTCCTGACAAAAATTTTTACTCTCCAATTTCAATCAAGCTGTTTGATTACAACTCATGGAATGATTGACTCTTCTTAAAATGAATCATCAGCTCCTTTGTTTCATGGAGTTTGAGAGGTTTTCTGTCCACCACAATGCAACAATGTTGATTTCCCCCTGAAGATGGAGGCGTAGTCTGCAAACATCAACACAGGTTTCTTTCCATGTCTGTGAAAGCAGTCAAGGGTGCACGGAGTGAACAGGAAGAGGGCTGAGCATACAACCCTGAGGGGGTGGAGGAGGTTTAACTGCTTGTCCAAACTGTCTGAAGTCTGTTTGTGAAGACATCCAACTGCAAAGTGTGATACTTAACTAGAATGTGCCACTTAGTTCCATGAAGAAACATGGATGAATGCTTAGCTAAAATCAGCAAAAGGATTTTTGGAGGGAAATGGCATACTCTGTGAATTTGTTGAGTTTTGAATGAAAACGGAGCCCATCTTCTGTAAATATGTAGGCACAGTAGTTTCTGATTTCAATCTGTTCAGTGATTCTGAGTCTTATTCATTTTATATTCCTGCTACAGAAAACTGACCATAATTAGAAAGGATAGAGAATAATGTTAGATTAACTCTTATACCAGTCCTCTACATCCTTAGTCACAGCAAAGTGAAAAATACATTGAGACTGTGCAAGTCTTTAGGTGTAGTTGTGATGTCATGAGTGATTTTGACAGCTGTCAGGATGGCCGAGTGGTCTAAGGCGCCAGACTCGAGGATTCACTCCTTCCTCACGAAAGGGACTTCTGGTCTCCAAATGGAGGCGTGGGTTGAAATCCCACTCCTGACATGCTCTTTTTCTTCTCACATTTAATTTACATTTATAAAACTTTGTGAGTAAAAACATATTGAAAAAGGTTCATCAGCTCTACTGATCTACATCAAATTGCTTTATTTTAGCTGAAATCAGCAGTCAGATCCTTAATTTTGCTTTCTGTTAAGCAGTAGGTTGTTTTCTGTGCTCTGTACTACAAATTGCTGATTTCCTCCTGATACAAAGTCTCATTATTGTCACTCTGGATGATGTAGTACATAAACCTTCCCAACAGGTTTCTTTCCTGGGTGCCCCATGATTCTCTGAGTGTGCAGTGCCCTCAATTTCTAACTCACATCCACACCTTGCTTGTTTACTGTGAAGTTGCACTAAAATATATTCTAATGGGAGGGATGTTCAGTTTTTTAATGATTTATAGCAGGGGTAGGGAACTCCAGGCCTCGAGAGCCAGTGCCCTGCAGGTTTTAGATGTGTCCTTGATACAACACAGCTGATTTAAATGGCTAAACGACCTCCTCAACATGTCTTGAAGTTCTCCAGAAACCTGGTAATGAACTAATCATTTGATTCAGGTGTGTTGACCCAGGGTGAGATCTAAAACCTGCAGGACACCGGCTCTCGAGGCCTGGAATTCCCTACCCCTGATTTATAGCCTGCATGTATTTAATTAGCATCCCATTTAGTTACAGATGCAGTTTGCTAACCCTCTTGATCATAGATGTTCATCAACATGCTTCCTTGGACTATGAGGATTTTTTAAAATAAATGCTTTTTAAAGACCAAACAATCCATTCGTTTTCTTCCACTTATCAAATTCAGGATAAGCAGATGAAGCTACAGCACTCTGAGAACCCAAAGAAGCAGAACATGACATAAAACAAACTGAGGTTCTTCTTCCCCACCATCACCAAATTAATAATACCTGAGATAAAGGTGGATGTGAACTGGCTCTGTATCTCCTTGTACAGGGAGTCTACAGACTGAAGGCCAGGAAGTGGTTTGCATCATGAAAACAAAGAAATGGCCTTTGAGCCCATAGAGAATGTTTCCTTATACAGAAAAACATACAAAAAAATCGGCCCATTTAGGAGGACACACCAACTAAAACCTTTACAATACTTCAAACTCACTTCCTGAATTCTGTTTTGTCAGCAAAACTGTATCACACACGGTCACGCTGCAAAGTGCTTTCAACGGGGGCAGCTGTCCTTTAACGCTTTATGTACACCACAAACCCCCACACCTCGAGACTTCTCTCCAGATGTTTCTCCAGATGTCACTGACTGCCACTTCCTGTTTTTTTTCTCTTTTTTTCTTGGCTAAAATTACATACTTCTCTCAAATTGTCTCTGCCTTTATGAACTACTGCAAGGGCCAGCATAGCCCAAACACACATTGGCATCTTCTTAAAACACTGTGACTCTCTAAAAACTGTGGCAACACAGCAATACCTTATCAGTCCTTAGTCTCCATTTGTTTGGCATCCAAAACATCTGCAAACCCCTCAGTGCCAAATTATGGACATTCCTGAAACTAGAGCTCATAATCGAGCTGTGAGGGAGAATAAACAATCCACACACACAGCACCTATTCATAATACGCAGAATAAGCTACCATTTATTTGTTTTTTTGTATGTTATAAAAACGACCTGAACTGATAAGGAAAGAGAAAGTGCTTGCAGAAGGAGGGGTCTGTACTTTGACAAGCTGTTAAGGAAAGACAAATTTCCCAAAAAGTTAGAAACGTTGGCAGAAAAGCAGTATAATCAGCACTTCATTTCTCACACAGTAGTCGCAGAGCTCTGGTCAGTCTGACCACGAATCCCAAATCCACTTGAGTATGTGCACGCCTACTCGTGTCACTGTGTTTCCCTCCAGAGGCCCTGCACAAACTGGCTCTCCATATTTAGCCAGAGAAATGTGGTGGAGTCACGAGTCCATAAAGAGAGAAAAAACGCTTTATTATCATTCTTATTAAACAACGATGAGGGAATGGGGGCATCCTTGTAGCGTTTGTTATGCTGAAGACTCCTCCCTGTGTCCTACTGTGTGGGAGATAACATCTTGGGTGGTACGACTGTTCAGGACGTGCCAGATATGAGTACAAATAATGTGGCATTTGATTCAATAAACAATTTATAAGGGAGATGAATTCTGGATAAAAAAAACCCTGTTTGATAACCTTCAGTTTTCATGTTACATTAAATTTTGTTCTTAGATCTACTGAACGTGCTATCACCTGAAGGCAGGATACTTTCTGTAGGCTGTCTGTAGGATTATGTGTTTAAAAGTTTGCGGGGGATGCACACACACACACACACACACACACACACACACACACACACACACACACACACACACACACACACACAAATTTCATGTTAAAAATATCTTTTAGTGGGAAAAATTTGGTTAGGATGTAGTGTTTGTCACAAAAAGTGTATCCATCCATTCTTTGTTGCTTATCAGAGTCTGGATTGTAGAGTCCAAGTCCAAGAAGATGCCCCAGCCAACTCCTTCAGCTCTTCCGGAGATTGGTCAGTGGGGGGGCATTCCAAAGTCAACCAAGAGATGTAATCTTTCCCGCTTGTCCTAGGAGCTCCTCCCAGTAGGACGTGCCCGGAACACCTTTCACAGAATAACCTTCATATTGTGTCCATGTCCTCTCCTGGACTATTAGCACCATCATGTCGGTTAAACCTCTTTATTATTGTGTGAATACCTGCACACGTTTCATCATCTAGCCCCACGTAAATGAGAAATGACTTTGTGTTGTATAAAACCAACACTTTCTGAGTCAGATGACTGAGTGTTACTGTTGCCATAAAGCTCTTCCAGCCTGTGTGTGTTATGAAAAAATAGAACAGCTGAGGGAAAGCATTGCCGGGCTGGATTCCTGACCCAGTTATGCAGAGAACAACTGATCGCTGGACTTTCCGCAAGAAATCTCCTGCATGTTTAAGTGAGTGTACGTGTAACTGAAATGTTTCAGCCACAAGCAGTCACTCGGAGGTGAATTATTGGTAAAAGATGCATTAATATGTAACTGTGTTGTCTGAAGGGCAGGCAAGTCCAGCTGCACTAATCTGCACCACTTCAGCAGACTTTCTTCTGTCCTAGAAAAATGCTGTACACATTTGTCTAGAGGCCTTACATTATTTCATTCTAACCATATTAGTGTTTTTATCTTATTTCTTCTAGTGTTATAATGAACAACAATTAACCTTACACATATATATACGTTCTTCTTGGCTTAAATTCAAACCTCAACCAATGTTTAATCAAGTTGTAGTCATGCTTTTGAGGCTTAATCTAATAATCTGCTATAACGTTCTAACTAGTGTTTTTCTTTCTTCTGTAGGGAGAAGGGGAAACCCAAGAATCAAGGAAGAACTGGACCTCCCTGTCCTGTCCTGTGGGTAGGACCCACACTCTCCCTGCAAACTCAGAAAATACGCGTACAATAGTTTGCGTCCAACTTACCCACTCCACCAGTTTGACGAAGCCGAGGGGCTCCTTCAGGGGCGACAGGTTTAGTCGAAATCCGGTCATCATGATTGTGCTTTTCTGATCCAAAATCTTTATCCAGCTGTTTCTAAGCTGTGGATGTTGGTCCAACAAGGGAAGGAAAAGGGGGAGTAGACAGAGTGACGTGGTCTCTACTGCTAACGCTGCAAAAAAACAGGGAGCAGATTCAGTTTTACAATCCAACTTCTCATCCCACCAAAAAGGAGATCTAGTGTCTCTAGCGTGAAAGATAAAAAGTTCCACTCGTTTAATAATCTTTAAAAAAACAAATCTTAATTTGAATGTCCTTATTCGTCATCTTTTTTTTTTTTTAAATTTCCAGTATAGATCTGCTCTGCGCTGGTGCTGATGCTCAGATGGAGCGGATACGCGCGTAAAGAGTGCCAAAACTCGCTTTGCCTTTGATCAGAACGCGTGCCGTGTATTTGGTTACAGGGAAATTATGGCTAAAAGAAAAGAGAAAACCTTTTTAGTTTGGGGGGTTTTTTGTTGAGAGAAGCGTACTTTCCCCCGAGCCAGGTAAAATAAAAAAAAAAATAAAAACCGCAAAGACAACTTGGAAAACCCTACAGCTGCGAGGTAAGTACCGGGGGTTACCGCAGAAAACCCATGCAAATTCACACCAGGAGACACGAAAGTTATCGTTAACTCACTTCTGAGTGCCAAAAAGTATCGAAAGTGTCCTATTGGGTTCTCACTGGATCCATTCTCCAAAAGCTGCCGCCCCTTGCGCCGTTTGCACCAACTGTGCACCGCCCCTTTAGTGCTGACTGGGTCATATGACTCTTAGCAAAGTGCAAGGGAAGAATTCTTGACATTTATTTACTATTAAGGATGCGGTGCAAGGACCAGTTAAAATAAAGGGATATTACGCCACATTTTCCACAGCAAGATTCAAATCTAAGGCGCTCAGCACATGTTTGGAATCACTGGACAAAAGCAATCAATTTCTCATCATATCATATCAAGTGGTCTGGGAGGTGACTAGACTCTTGCACCTCATCTCAGATCACTGTTCAGACTTTTAAAAGTAGCGGACCCAGAGTAGCGGTGCGCTTCTAAATAAAGCTGGGGTTTTCGATTTTCTTGGAAGGTTGAATGCCTGACCGGGAAAATTCACGGGATGGGAAAGCGACTGGAAACTGTGGTTCCTGAAGTCATTCTCAAGCTATTAGGCTGATATCAGGCAAATATGCTAGATCATAAGGTGCCCCAAGTTATTTTCTAGCAGTAACATGTAATTAGTAACATGCTCGTGACGATTTTTTGTATTAGTTTTTAGTTTTTTCAATCAAACCAAGCAGCAGTCGCCAGAGCTACAAAATTAATCGAATTTAGAAAACTGCAGTGCCTGTAATGACCACTCGGGGTTGGCTCTAAAAGCAGATAGAATCACATAGATCGATTCCTGTCGAAAATGTTCAACTTTACAGAATTAAATTTATAAGAAAAAATCCAAAACAAACTGATGCTGTCAGAGTGGCTACATTCAAATCCATCCATCTGAAAATTGTATTAATGGAGTGTGAGAAACACAAAGCCTGCCTGTACTCATTTAGAGGAAGAAACTGCAGGAGAAGGAATTCCTATGTTCAAATCTTTACCGCAGATAATATAAAAGCTGGAAATAACCACCACGATGTCACCCATTAGTTAGTGAAATTCTGTTATGAAGCCTTTAGCTTGGGCTTTCTATTGTGAAACCACGTGTGATGGACGAGGAGTTGTTATAATTGGCAAGTTGTTAGCCAGTGAGAATATCCTGCCCAAGCCTTAGAATGACCATAATTTACAAAATGACACTAACGCCCTGTTCAATTTGACTTTAAACTTGTGATTAAGCTTAAGTTCGTGATGAAACTAGGAAAGTGTTTTCTGAGGTCACAGAGGGATGTTTTCCAGAAGTCTTCCTGCACCCCTCTGCTGGTGATTAAAGTGAATGCAGGTTTAAGGCACATTTGAATTGTTTTTTACTTTTCAGTACTAAAAGCTGCAGTCATCTTTTATACCATTAACTTTATCAGGATTTTAAATTTTCAAATAAACATTATAAAGTCAGCATTTTTAACTCGTTGAATATACAAACTGTTCCAACCTGTGATTAAAGATTTACTAGGTTTAAAGAAACATTATGATTCAGGAGCTGCTGTCACTTGGAGAAAGAAAACAAACACCAGCCTCCTGTGTTAAAGTCTGATGCCTGGTTGACCATTAAATCTCCAAATGTGGGCTCACTGTTTAATGCCTTCCTACGTTGCTGCTGTAAAAATATCTAAGGCTTTATCATTAATTTCAAAACAGTGGGGATGCTGTGTAAGATGTAAATGAAAATAGAATGCACTGATTTGCAAATCCCATTAACCCACAGTTTGTTCACAGTATAACACAGAAAACATCAAATATTTAAACTGAGAAATTTCACTATTTATACTAAGGCTGGAAAAGTAAGCGGTACTAAAGAGAAGCAGCTGAAGGAAAATTTTGAGAAAGATTAAAAAGATTGAGAGACTCTGAAGACATCTCTATGCTGAGGGGACAAGGCCAGAAATCAGTACTGGATACCTGCAATCTCTGGGGCTTCAGGAAGCCCAGCATTAAAAATATGACATGATTCTGTCCTTTAGATCACTGCATGGGCTCAGGAACACTTCCAGAAATCACTGTTTATTAACACAGGTTAAGCCTCTAGCATGCAAAGAAGAAGCCATATGTGAATGTGATCCAGAAACACTGGTGTCTTCTCTGGGCCAAAGCTCGTTTAAAATGGATTGAAGCAAAGTGGAAAACTCCCCTGTGGTCAGATAATTGAAATTTGAAATTCTTTTTGGAGAACATGAACGCCACATCCTCTGGAGTACAGAAGGACCATCCAGCTCGTAAGCCTGCATCTCTGTTGGTATTGGGGTCCATTAGTGCCTGTGGAATTAACAGCCTGCACATCTACCATTAATTTGAAATGTATATACAGGTTCAAGAGGAACATATGCTCCCAACCATACATGTTTTTCAGGGCAGGCCTCACACATTTTAACAAAGCAATGCTAAACTGCATACTGGATCAATTATAACAGCATGGCTTCATAGTAGAAGAGTCCGGGTGCTGAATTGGCCTGCCTGCAGTCCAGACTTCTCACCAGCTGAAGCCTTCAAACAAGAATTGGAAAACATTCCTCTCCCAGAATTCCAGCAGCTGGTCTCTTCAGTTCCCAGACTGTCGTTACACAGCAGTAAACATGGCCGTGTCGCAAGTATTTTGTAACGCTGCCATCAAATTCAGTGAATGTGACGAGCCAATACTTTTCCTAAAATGGTATATTTGCTCATTTTTAAACATGTGATGTGTTTTCTGTGTTCTTCTGTGAATCAAAAGCGGCTCTGTAAGATTCCATATTCACTACTTTGTGTTTTTAATGTACATTTCACACAGCCTCCCAGCTGTCTCTGCATTAGGGCTGTTAAGTCGTTTCGGAGGCACTTGTTGGAAAGGCCAACGCTATCAATGGAAAAACAAAAAGGAGGCGCGACAAATGAAGCACTTCAAACTGACAGGGTGGCATCTTTAATCAATGTATTGTTGACAACATAGCATGTTATGTTAGTTAAAATATCATTTGTGCTGGGAGAGAATTTGGAACAATCAACATATACATACAAGTAAAACAACAACAACAGAGAGAGGAAAAAAAAAAAATAGTATCCACAAACACTTTCATTCATTACACGCACACACAGAGCACTCCCACCGGACCACACGCCCACACAAACAGAAGCTAAAAGCTCGACAGTCGCACTGCTAGGTCTGTCAAGCAGTTTTGGATATTCTTCTGTTGGTACAAAAATGATCGTTTTGACAAAAATAATAATTTCATCAAGTGTGGTCGTCTCCCCTAACTTGCCCTCTCCACTTTTAGTCAAACTACTTGTTTTTATGTACAAGTGAGAAGGCAGTATGGCCGCATCAGTTGTAAATAAGGATATTTACCGCTAGATTTCTGGCATATTATTGGTTTTGGTTTTTTTTTCCTTTGTCATACAAAATAATATCTCTCTGAGGTAAGAACCGAGACAGTATCAAAATAGTAAAATGAAAATTTTACTGAATGTAAAAGGACTACAGGTTCATTACTTGCTGGATGACATGACCTCACGGATAACAGCAGCGGGAAGAAGGAAAAAAACAAAACAAAACAGGAAGATTGAATAACGGTCCGATGTTGTATCAGCGTGTGATTCGCTCAGCTTGTCTGTGTTTGAGCGCGATGGCTCTGAGCCAGTGGAGAGGAATGGGAGTTGGTGACATCACAGGCGTTATCAAGGTTGGTTACATGGGGGGGGAGCAGGGTCAGTGTCTGTGAGGGAACCTTTAAGAAAGAAAGAAAAAAAGGAGGTCGCTGATGCTCTAATAGCTCCGGTGAGGCTGCTGCGGCTCTGTGGAGCTCCCAGAGGGCGTAGCGTGTGAAGTTATGAATGTGAAGCAGCTGAGTGTCTGAAGAGCGGGAACAAATTACCACCTGGAGGCTTTAAAGTTTAAACAAGACAGCCTACAGCCGGGGCAGCAGCTCTGTGAGAGTGCCTTTGAGCCTGAATTACCAGCAACGCTCACGATTACAGTGTCATGTGATTACGACTAAATCAACCCCGTGGAAGGAATCACAAATGGCAGTCCACAAACCCGAGAGCTTCAAATGTAATCCTTTTGGTGGCGCTACGTGAATTATGAGGAGCACCAAAGGATTTATCTCCTGTGGACTGTACTGAGATAAGTCACTCTGGTACTTTCACAACTTGGCGACTGCTATTACCGTAAAAAAAAACGCAACTCTTTGTCCTGTGATGTCACCAGCTCCTAGCGCTCTACTAGAAAAATCCCTTCACTCTGAAAAAGGCCAACTCAGGAAATGACACCCACCACAATCTGGCTAAGATGCTCTGAATGGAAAGTTGATCAACTCCGAAAGGCATTAGCAAGCGAAACCCCCATTTACACCAGGGCAATAAATCCAAACCATTCCTCCCCTTCAAAAGTTAAGGCAGTGATACTAAGGGGAAATGCTTCTCTGACCAGCAACTATGCTCCACCGACTACCAATGCGTAGCTGGTGCATGTTAGTGTCAGAAAGTACTCTCGCTTTTTTAATTTTTTCATTTATAAACCTCTTGTTTGCCAAAAAGTTAAACTAACTCTCCACTAGACTGTCACAACGTCTCCTTTCAGAATAAAAGGCCGGGAAGAATGTTGTTTTATTCCCACGACAAACAAGCACATTTGCAGAAAAAGGAATAGCACACAGTTGTTTAAAGGAAGAAAACGTCTCTCTCACCCCCCACACACACACTCACTCACTCACATTCACACACACAAAGACATCAGAACCAACACCGAACAAACATCTCAGCCAAGGCGCCACATATATGCACGTCATCTTTCAGAAACACATAAGGTTTTTGTCCTCTTCATTCCAGTGAAGACGATTTCTGCAATGTATATTTTTTTCACATCAACTCTTGGTCTGATTAACAGCAAAGAGTGGCCATTCACCATCATGAAGACCTAGTCCAAAAAACCCCACTCGTTAAAGTTCAGTGGAAACCATCTAATCTCTGGGCCTTTTTAATTTCCGATCGATTTAAATGTCTATTACTGAATGATTATTTGAATGTAATCAAACCTGAATCTGAAAAATCAATAAGAATTACAAAGAAAGGAAAAAAAAAGTGATTTATTAAACTCCGTCTTCCTCCATTTGTGATTTTTGTGGTGTGATTTGGAT